GTATCCACATATACATCGCACTGGATAGAGACATGTACACGGTATGGTTACCATACTATTTTCAGGTGCACGTTGTGATTTCAAATTTCGACCCCTCCCCCTAGATATCCCACTGGTCATGGCTTTCAATAGTATACAACTGCTTAATGTGCAGTTGCTTTATATTTCCAGTGTGTTTTTGGTCCAACGTAATAACACCAAAATGGATGAGAAGCAGGGACCAACTTCTGATGATGTCCCAACTGGGGAGGTAACGTCAACCACAGTTACAGAGGGTGATGTTGTCAAGATGCCAACAGATGTGGCCATCACTTTGGATGCTATTCCCAATGAAGATGAGGAGGACAAATCCAAAGGTGACTTGTTATTCTTTTACTTGGTGAAGACGTTTGCTCCTTTGCCAGGTCAGCTAAGTGTAATCCCATTCATGTGATTTTGTCCATTCTTGCTTATTGGAAACTTAACACTTTAACCCAGTGAAATTAATTTTGCTGCAAAATAGTTTAGTTGCTTTCCAGGTAAGTTTTTTAAATTGGGGGAATGAGGGTTCAATTTCATAAAAAAAATTGCACCTTTACTTGGTACTTGGTACTTGGTGGTTATCCTGAATACTCCATGTGGAAGTCTAGCAAGGAGGCCTTGGGGAAGTGGAACTAAATTAAATCCTTAAAGGTGTTGTGGTTTGGGGCGTCTATGGTGTCTTGAGGGAGCTTGTTCCATTTCCGGATAGTTCTGGGTAGGAATGACTGCATATAGATGTCTGTCTTTGCTGCAATTTCTGTGAACTGGTAGTTGTGAATTCTACGAGCTGGTGCTGGTTTGGGGACTATGGATGATGAGTTAATGTGAACTATGTTGTGTATTATTTTAGTAGGTAAGTAGGTAAGTTCGTTAATTTTCCTTCTCTCTTCCAGTGAAGACCAGCCTAGGGTTGTCAACATGTTGGTCACACTGCTCAGTCTGGAACAATCTCGCATTACGAAATGAGCAGCCCTCATCAGTTGCACTTTTTCCAGGAATGTTATGTTATTAGCTATGTGAGGGTTCCAAGCAATGCTGCCATATTCTAGGTGTGGTCTGACTACTGCTAAGTACAGCTTTTCTTTGACTGATCTGGATGCAGAATGAAAATTTATTTTGATGAAGTTCAATATACGACTTGCTTTGGAAGTGGCATGTGCTGCTTGGTGATTCCAACTTAGGTTATTCTGAATGATTATTCCCAAATATGTCATGTTGGTTTTCTCTACGAGGTTGGATCCTAACATGGTGTCGTTAGTTTTGCCGGGGGCCCGCTTCCCGGAGATTCACATGATGTTACATTTGCTGGAGTTAAATTTCATTCCCCAGGTTTGCACCCAGTGAGCCAAGTTGTCCGGGTCTTTTTGGAACATCAGTTCATCAGTTGATGAGCAGATCTTCCGATATAACAGGCAGTCGTCAGCGAAAAGGCGAGTTGTGCCAGTCACCGATTTGCTGATGTTGTTGATGAAAAGTAAAAACAGGTGGGGGCCAAGCACGGTGCCTTGTGGTATGCCACTGTCGACACTTTGCCATTTCAAAGATTTTCCATTTACCACAACTCTTTGTGACCTGTTGGTTAAGAATTCCCTGATCCATCTCTGTGTTTTTCCCCTTATCCCGTAGTAGTCTAATGTTTGGACCAGTTTTTGATGAGAAACTATGTCGAATGCTTTGGAGAAGTCAAGTACTGCCATGTCTGTGGTGATTTGTTACGAGTTGGGATTTGCAGGACAGGCCTTTACGAAAAGCATGCCGGTTTTCGTTCAGGATGTCGTGTTCCTGGAGGTGTTTCATTTATTGGCTATCAATGATGTGCTCTAATAACTTAAAGCAAACAGAGGTCAACGACACAGGTCTGTAGTTTGCCGGGTCTGCACGAGAGCCTTTCTTAAAAATGGGTGTTACGTTGGCTTTCTTCCAGTCAGATGGAAGAGAACCCAGGTCAAGTGATTGTTGGAATATGAATGCGAGTACTGGGGCAACTTCATTGGCAGCTAGTTTCAAGTTGAGCGACGTCAGTAACTTGAGGACTCCTCTAACAGACACGGTGATGTTTGTCAAGTCTGGGTAGGGACTCGGTGGTAGAACTGGCTGCACATCGGTGTCATCCCTGCTGAAAACACTACAGAATTAATCTTGTAGGGTTTCAGCTTTTTCTTGGTCAGATGTGATATTTTTCCCGTTGAGTTTTAGAATCTGAACCCCTGTGTTGTCTTTACGAGTGCTGTTTATGTAGCGCCAACATTTCTGGGGGTTACCTGTAGATGTAGTTTCTTGTAAATGTGTGCGTTTAGCCCTTCGGATTTCGCTGTTCACTTGCTTTTGCAAAAGTTTGAATGTAGACCGCTTGTTACTGCCTTCACATAGCTGCGCTCTTTCTTCCTGCAGCAATGGATTAGGACAGTAGTGAGCCATGAGGGTCTAGAATGTCCCTGGACTGGTTTTTGTGGTACTAATTCGTTAGTTTTCAGCCTGTCCCTAAAAATACTCCAATTTGCCTCAACTGTTCTGGTTTCTGGAGATGACTGCATGAATTCGGTCTTAAGCTCGAGGACAGATTTTTTCAGCTTGGATTCATCCACGTCATTCCACTTGAAGATGTTCCTAGGGGGCCTGACAGAGCGAGGTGCGGTGATGTTTATGTCAGCTAACACTGTTGCGTGATCACTAATTCCGGAGTTGCTGTAAACATTACAAACCAGAGTTGGACGTGTGGTGAAGAGCAAATCAAAGATGTTATCTGTTCCTGTAACTGGGTCTCTCCTTGTAGAAAAATTTGCCTTTTGTTCGAGATTGTAGTCATCTTCGATGTTGATAATTTTGGATTGAATACCGTTTGCAGAGAAAGTACATGTACCAGTCCTTGAGTTCCAAAGCATGCCCGGGATGTTGAAGTCTCCTCCAAGAATGATGAATGGGGAGTTTACCTGAGCCTGCAATTTACTCAAACTTCTGTCTAGGTTTTCTAGAGATTCTGGCCTGTAGGAGTCGGGGGCTCTATAATATGCAGAGATGAAGATGTCCTCTCCTTTCGGCTTGAGCGGTAGTTGGCACCAGAGTAATTCACAACCATCTTCAGAAAGTTCAATGGCTGAGAAACCATCCTTAACCAAGATAAAGACACCTCCGCCACGTCTGTCGTTTCCTCTGTCCTTGAACCTTTGTTCAACTGTCAAACTTGTGAATTTCTGATGAATGAATGCAAAGTTTACAAAGCCATTCATATCTTAAAACATTCATTCTTTTATAAAGCCCTGTCCGCACTGGACTTTTTTTTGGTCAAACTTACCGAGACTATGGGTACTTTTCCTGTTTTAAGTCCAGTGCGGACAGCCTAGGACGTTTTCCTCTTAGTTACTTTTCCTGAGTCCAGCGGTTACTTTTACTGGCCAACTGCTGCCCAGGAAAACTGACCACGCGCCCAGGAAAATTGACCAGGTCACTTTTCCCGAGACGATAAGTCCAGTGCGGACAGTGCGAGTTGGTAAAAGTGGCTCAGGAAAGTGACATCCGGCCCGAGTGCGAGTATCATGCATACAGAAACAGCACGATCCCACACGTGATGTGGCCGAACATTTTGTGGAAACACGTACGCTGCGGTGTGTCAAGTCCGAGCGGTAAAAGCTTGTTATAAATATATTTTAACAGAGAATACATTCACAGAAAATATCAAGATCACCTTCTGGGAAATACTTTGCAGTCATTCTTTTTCTCCACCAATGTTTGTTTTGTATTTTCTACGATCCAATTTCGTCCTGTTACGCCGTGTAGTCTGCATGGCACCGTACGTAGGCCGCAGTCCCTGGTTCCGGTCCTACAGTGTACATCATAGCTTTGATTCTGTTAGCATGCGGTGGGAACCAGCGATTACCGATGGAACTGCTGCCGCATGGCTTCGATGTCGTCCATCACAAATGCATCAGAATAGTAGGCATTTTCGTCAAGATTTATCGTGTCAAGATGAAATAACATCATATGTTACGATTTATTGTGCATTTTAATGGTGTGTGTAATATTATACTGTGCGTATCGGGGGCTGAAAAAAAATGTGATCGCCATTTTATTTCCTGTGCACGTGACTGTGACAGCTCGGTCACTTCTCCCACACGGTCTGGGTAAAATTTCCCGTGTCGAAAGTCCAAGTGCGGACAGTGGTCACATTTGACCATTTCTCATTTTACCATCGTCTCGGTAAAACCTTCCAAAAAAAAATCCAGTGCGGACACGGCTTAAGATGGAATTTTGCGTCGTGAGTGATTTTTTTCCAAATTTCACTCGGGAGGTACCACACTGAGTATACAGTGTTTATACGTGGGTGCAGGGCGAAACCTAATTTGATTCATTCTTTTGTTGATTAATACAAAGCCCATTAAAAAAGGCAAATAAATATATCACAATATTATGAGGCATCAATAAAGTATCAGAAAAGCATACTAGTTCAAATACCAGAATGGTGATAGTACAAAGCATTATTTGTGCTTGGCAGTTTTGAATTACGCACACAACAGCAGCTTGTAGAAATTGGTCATTTTTGGGAACCGTCCAAATTAAGATATTTATATATGGGTTTATCTCTTACTTTACAATGAGGTTCATATTTTAAAGCATTAATCTTTTTTCAGGTACTGTGTACAATTGTTGTACATCTATATTAACAGTATTCAACTTTGGGATGTTTCTTATTCAAAATTTGCAATTCATTGATCTGTTTGTCAGTGTGAACTGATTTTGTTGTGCAGTGTCTCACTTAAAAACTCATAATTAAACTTACAAATATCTCATGCTTAAAAAAAAATCAAAGTAAACTTATTTTCTCTGATTGGAGTTGGTCTTTTAATTTGTTTGTTTTTGTGCATCAGGTCTTGACCCACAAGATAACCATTCCACCAGCACCTCTGACGTACCGGTGACTGGGGCTGCCATGACGGATCCTTATCACTATCTGACGCAACAGCACTTCACCTCAGAGATCTTCAAGATTAAGATCCAAAACCTCCCAAGATATTTTGGATTTGCGGTGAGTTTGCTCTCTATGCTTTCAACTCTCGATAATGATAATACAGTTTGTGCTCTGTTAAGAGTTCATAATGTTTTCCATGGTGAAGATTTCTCAGGGTCTTTTTGTAATTTTGTTTAACAGAATTTAAAGGCAATTGGATGAATTTCACTAAAACCTGGAAATATCCTAGCCTGATGTCTATATGAAAGTAATGGTAAACTGCATGTACATGTAGAAAGTTGTAATCTTTTTTCCAGTGCACTGTTTACAATGCCCGTACACTTTAATAGTTGTTTCTTCTGTTGCTGTGATATCGCTCTAGGTATTTCACATTTACAGCTTTGTGATTTTCTGTGTAACTTGTGAAACTAAAAATCATTGCATTGCAGTTTGTTGTTAAAGTATCTGACTGACTGCCTGTGCCTCGTGCACAATGAACAAACAGTCACATCAACCTCAACCAGAACACTTTGTAACTTTCCGTCCTTAAACAGCAGTGACACTGAAGTTCCAGCTCATGACATCACTGTATTGCTCATGAATATGGAACTTGGCACTTTCTTAAAAGTATTTTAAAGCCTGGAGCATTGTAACCCTTCATCAACTAAAAACCTCAAAATCTGTTTTAAACACACTTTAAATATCTGCAGCGGAAAATGTAGGGTCATACTGTACAAATGTACAAATGTAGATGTTTGTGCCAATTCATGTATACATATTTTCACACAGACAAAGTTTTAAAAAAAACATGCTCATTTAAACGCACACAAAAACCTCATTCAAGTAACATTTAATGTGTACATAAGTATGCAGTTTTGTAATCCATTTGCCTAGACGATCATTTTCAAGTATTTCTGAACCAAGAATGTAAGATTTGCTGTGATCTGGCAGATGCAAGATAGGCGCAGATACAAGTGGCGCTTTCAGCGTGCTCAATGCATGTTCCTGTGCCTCTTCCCATTTCACATGATTTGGTTTTCCTTTCTTAGTCAGATCGGAAAAGTTCGGAATGAATTTGCAATAGTAATTAACAAGGCTTATAAGTGATCGAACTTCCTTTTTCATTCGTGGACAAGATGCATTCAGGATTTTTGTGATCTTTTCCGTCTGTGGCTTTACAACACCGTTTCCTACAATGTGCCCTAGAAAATCAAGGAAATCATATCCGGCCATAATTTGCCTTGCGCAAGGGGTTCAAAACATCTTGAATTGTTTCGATGTGTTGTTCCCAAGTATCCGTGTATATTAGAATATCATCAATGAAATTCACGACATGCTGTATGTTTTCCAGCAATTTTCTCATCATGCGTATGAAAGTAGCCGGTGCATTTACCGTTCTGAAAGGTAACAGAGTGAATCGAACTATGTACTTTTTGAGGAGATTTGCGTGAAATGTGTGTGGCTTACTGTTCATCTCAATACAGTTGTCGTGTTGTGCAACTTTCCGTAATACAGGAAATGGCCCTCTCCATTGCATGAGTCATTTGTTCGCGTCAGTTGGCAGGACAACTAATACTTGGTGACCAGTATCAAACTTTTGATCTCAAGTACGCGCGTCGTAGTATTTCTTATAGCTAGTACTGGACTTCGCGAGTTCTTCTCAAGCTAGTTCGCAAGTAGACTCTAGCCGTTCACACAAGTCTATGACATACTGGTAAGTTGTCTTTACCTCTTCATCTAATTTTTCTCCAGTCCATAACTCTCTGAGGATAGTAAGAGGACCTCGTACTGAACGACCGTACATGAGCTCAAAGGGAGAGTACCCCGTGCTCTCTTGCGGAGATTCTCAATACGCGAACAACAGCGCAGGGATATACCGATCCCAATCACGCGGTCTCTCACTGCACATGCGCCTTAACATTCATTTCAGTGTACCGTTGAATTTCTCAACAAGTCCATTACAGATTGGATGGTAGGGTGTAGTTTGCAGTTGTTTCATTGACATAAATCTGCCTATTTCTTTCATTAGATCGGAGGTGAATTGTGCGCCCATATCTGATAGCATTTCATTTAGATCATTGGAGTGAAGATTTCAAACAACGCTTCCATTACGCGTTCTGTTTCAATAGGGCTACGGCTTCCGAATAGCGCGTCGCATAGTCGACCAAAGTCAGAATGTGAATTGGTCCTATCAAGTCTACGGCTACTCGTCTAAACGGCGTATCAATTAAAGGTATTCTACCTACATGTAGAGTAACCGTGCCGACACAACCTTTCGCGACCGTTCTTTGGCATATGTCACAGGAAACGCAGTATCTTCTGATGTCGCCTTGCACGCCTGGCCAAAAGAAATTTGCAAGTACGCGGTCTTTTGTTTTCTTGATACCAAGATGCCCTGCCATGGTGGAATTGTGTACATGCTGTACCAACTGTGTGATAACTGTGTGATAACTGATTACACAATTTTTTCTGTCGACGGTGAAGCGAATTCATGGTAGAGTAATCCGTCCGAGACGAAATACCTAGTTTTGTTATCCTTACCCGCTCGTCGGCTTTGTCCTGTTTCCCCGAGGGTCAGTAGCTTTTCCATGTTGCGCTTTAATTATTTACGTACGAGATTCGGAGAGATTTTGCACTTCGGGAACTTTAAGATGACGCAAGTTCGTGACTTTCTTTAGCTTTTGCGCTCTTGTCTCAACTGCAGCTGTTTTCTCGTCGCGAGGGCTTTGGCATTTCTGTTCCGGTGTGTCATTTCGTTTACCTCACCAACTGGGATCAGGATCACGTGGGTCTCTAACACCTGTTATGTTTCCCTATAATATCGTACAAGGGATTTGGCATACACCATGCATTCACGGTTCCTACAAAATACAGCGAATCTATTTCAATACGCGCGACTGAAACATTCCGTGTACTGTCTAGAAGAACACACTTTTGTTTTGGCTCCAACATTTGTTCCTTCTACTAAACTCTGTTTGACGACAACCGTACTACATCAGCTATCACGCAGAACTTTAATTAACCGTTTCGTTGCCCTACTGGAATTTGATTACCGATTGTACACGTGACACTAATCATGGGGACTTCATGCCCACAAGACAGTTTCAAATTTTCTCCTATTTGACCTGCACATTCGCATAGTGCAGGCCTCGATCTTGGGCAAAAAAGGGGCAGGCCACTTTGGCCTTGCCCTCATCAAAATTCCACAGGACACCAAGGCCAACTCAAGGGGGCACCAAGGCCAATCATTTCAATACCTTTAATTTACATTTATTTACAGCCATTGTATACACGCCTATTTTCTAGGTCACATAAACAATCAAGAGTATTCAGTTCTTGTACAAATGTACACCATGTCCAAAGAGCTTCGTTTCCGATTTCGCTTTATCGCTTGTAGCTTTTAATGGTCTGATCAAATTTTTAAATTAATCGCTTTCTTCGTAATATCATACGGTTAAAATAATACAGTTGATGTTTCTGTAAGATAACATTGACTAATGTTGATCTGGAATCTTCAAACTTAGGCACCCAAATAGCACTGTTAGCAGGCGGAGCCGAATGAAGACCAAGTTTTGGAAAATCCCGGTAACGGACGTCAAATTCAAAATTGTACGCAGCAAAAAATGATGCAGCAAAAAGTTCACCCATACGATCCTAGTATATTTGACGCACAAAATCGTCGTTGAATTTCAAGTTTTCTCTAAATGAAAGCAATGAATATGAATTATCAACTCATTTAAAATAAAATTAATAAGCAGTTAGCAGTTAATTAAACTATATTATATACTTGGAAATACTCAGGCGCTATCCGATTGTTGACGAAACTTCGGAAATTTTCGGAAAAAGGAGGAATTCCTCCCGTTTTAGTCACGTGATGTAAATTGTAATACAATGTATTACCGGAGGCTACCGGACCTAAGATTCATCAGGAATAATCAGAAATCTTTTGGTCTGGGAACCAGACTAGCTTATCGAGCCGCATTCGGAGCCGCCTCAACCTCCTCCTCATGGGTTTCGAACTCCCAGTTGCATTTTGTCCAAGCATTGCCTTGCGCGATACCCATTGAGACAAGGTTGAGACGGCTCCGAATGCGGCTCGATAAGCTTTGGGATCGAAAAACTGTATTCTGAATCTCCAAAAGTTGTATTTTTAATTACAAAAATTCTGTATTTTTCAAAAATATGCATAGACGGGCTATACGAACAAACAAATGTGGCTGCAATGCTTCATCTTTAATACATCTTACTTAAAGTTATTTTAAAAAATGACCAGAGGTCTCCCTGCGGGTGGTAAACCCAATCAAACAATTTGCATGAATAAGGATATTGATCATATACCTTACTCATAAACAAACTGCTTTAAAAACTATTCAATGCAAGTCTACTTAAACATAAACTAAAGACTAGACTTCCTCATGTTTGAAATAAATAAACCTTTAATGCAGGTGAAAAATTCATTTGGCCATGTTCAGACACCGTGTTAGCTAAAACGGTAAAAGTTAAAACGGTCGCTCGCCACGGGAGGTCCGGCCGTCGTAAAAAATAAAACTACTGAGCGTCCAGACATCGTTATAAGTATAGCAAGTTCAACGCGAAGCAGTTTATCTTAGTTTCTAAGGTCACGTACAACATCCGCCTCAGCAAAAACCATGCGCTAAAAAGAGCCTTCACTCTTCCATTTTGACAGTTTGCTACACATGGTCTGAGCCTCTCACCGTGTGATGCGTGTTGCCATGCCGTGTTTGACATCGCAGCCCCGGCCGATCATGCATGCGGTAAACATGACGACAGTCACTTGTCCACTGCGGCGATTCCTCCATTTTTTAAGTATCGTGTCGGCCTTACACCATTTGTGTTAAAATTTTTGGGGCTATTTTCTGTACCTTTCGTGGTGCAGAAAAAAATAAAAATGTTCTAAAAAGTTGATTGAAAACAAACACGTCATTGAACAGATTTCACTGCAATCATCAACTTGACAACTTGCCCGCACAATATGTCAGTCACGTGAAAATACATGTGATATTAATGTTGCAATATTGACCAATCAATGCCAAGGTTTTCCTGGTAGTTGAATATATTAGTGTATTATGATAATTACGCTCCGGTTAGCGGTTGTTGCAATGATGTGCATAATGTACGGTACATTGTACAGTGGCACCGCGCCGTATGTTTGGCCATAGCCAGGAGATCGGGAAGGGCTGCGCGCTGGGTTATGGTGTACCGGGGGTATGAGATGACCTGCGTGTGTACGTAGTTACGAACACAACAACGATAACTATAAAAAGACGTGTATTATTTTCGCCGCGACTAGACGTTTGTTGAATGGTGTTTGTATGCACAGATCCTCTACACAATATCTGTGATGTGTGATTGTCATGACGGGACATGCAGAGGTAAAATACAAATATGACAAAAGGGCACGCTGGCCAAGTTGGCCGCGACATGTGTATTTTTTGAAGGGGCATTGCGGCCAAGTTGGAAGGGCATGCGGCCTTTGGTCGCGGTGGCCACGGTAAAGATCGAGGCCTGATAGCGGTGACTTTTTGGTTATGCACCCAGCAACTTCTTGTATTTCTTGCCCTGTTTCTTCGTTGGTTCGTTCTGTTACTTCCAGACTTGCAGATTGAGCTAGATAGCCCTATGAACAAGAACAATACAAGCACTATCAAACTAATCCTAGCGCAAGTGCGTTTGTGAGGGGAGATTCCAGAAATACCTAACTTACGCAACAACAGCTTGATTCCATGTGACTTAGTGCGCGTTACATAATTGCCAACATGACATGACAATCTGTCTATAGGCATCGCAATTTGGGCTTCTCAATGCACGCTGCCTAGCAAGGGCTTCCATAAACCACCTTGAACATCTATCGTGTATAACCACACACCTGAGACTACCAGCTTTTCTCAATTTGTTTTTTCATTTCCCGGACGAGCCCCCATTTGTCACATTCCCTGGTTTGCTCCTCCCCAAGAAATATAACCCTCAGTAGTCTGGTACACCGTCACACAAAATAAATTGTCGAGTAAATTGACAATTTATTTTGTGTGACAATTTATTTTGTGTGACGGGTGTACCAGACTTCTGAGGGTAATATTTCTTGGGGAGGGGCAAACCAGGGAATGTGACACTGACAGTTGGTTGCAATCTGTTCTGGTCCTGCACATTACTAATGACACAGGAAGTATTGACAATTCCCTACTTTAAAGTAAAATACGTTTCTATTCTTGATAATATGCTGTGAATGTTTCTCGTTACCAGTAAGGTGTTTCATGGTAATATGCGCCAATCACAAGATGAAAATCAAATTAAGTTTCGCCCTTCTCCGACGTATATACACTGTTTACTCAGTGTGTTAAGGGCCTGTCACATTATATGCGATCTCATAGGAGACCTTACGGCGACCAAAAATATTTCATAAATTTATGCGAGGACATAAAGAAAATGCAGCCAGGACACAAGAAAATGACAGCTTTCTGTATCAAAGATTGATATTATTGATAAGTCTGAAGTCTGAAGGCAAAGTATAAGTTGTCCCCAGAGTATAAATAATTGCAGCTGAAACGTTGAGTGAGTTCAGAATGAAAAAAAATGGCAGTATTGATGATAACCATACAGAGGACCTTGCCTGCTCGCTTGGGACAATTTGGCAACTGTGCTGATTGCTTGCACACTTTAACTACTACAAAGATGTACAAAGCAAGAGTGGCTACCAAACAGGTAGTGTTGGTAACGAAATTAATCCAAAAAATGATGTCTTTAAAGACAGTCTCTGGCAAGAATATCGGAATCACACCAACAATAATTGTTGGCACCCAGAGTCCTGCTGATATCTTTGCTGCTCGAGATTTAGAGGCTTTTTCCTTGAATGAGGATTACGCACTGCAGAGAATCCCTCAGCTGCTATGATCTCTACAAAATAACTAGAAACAATAACAAATATGTAATTGAATCCCAGGACATACCCTTATTTTGTTTTACCGTTTTGGATTTCCTCAAAAACAAAAACCGTGAACGAACTATTGACCGTTTTGTCATTTTACAGTTTTGTAAAACGGTCAAACGGTATTAAATCGAAACACAAAAAATACTTTTTGTTGTTGTTTTTAATTGTAGAAAGCGTTAAACGGTTAGTTGCTTTATTTTTAGAGTGTTGTTTTACAAAATCATGACAATGACAAAACGGTCAATAGTCTTGCCGACCAATTTTTTTGGATTTAGGTTTGGCAATTAAGCAATGCTCCAAGGAATGTTAATGCGTCCTTGGGATTGAGTCATTGCCTGGGCCCTCCTTACATTTTCGTTCTCACAACAGAATTTGCGAATTAGCTATTGAAGAGCCACGTCGACTTAAACTCCAATTTCCTTCAAAATATCTGCAACTTCATCTAACGTCTTACCATCCTGTATCCATTGTGAAAAGTAAAAGTGCCCTCCCTTGCAGTTTTCCAGCGCCATTTTTGCTTGCAACTCTTTAAGCCCCACCAACTGAATCACATGAGAAGGGGTCAGGGTCCACGCCAGGAATCACACCACGCATTAATTATGCCGAGCCAACACTCGTGTAAAGCAGGGTCCCCCTCCACCCCCTTGCCCACCGCCACAAAATGCACCACGGACTGTTAACTATGACACTAAAATAAAAAACAGTGTGTATTCAATACTGACCTGTTTTGCTGTTTTTCTAAGTTATTTGTGTAAAACCGTCAAACAAAAATAATGGATCGTTGTGCTATAATGAATTTTCCTAAACTTATAAAACGGATAAACCGTATTTATCTTAATACTGTTTGTCGTTTTATAAAACTGTAAAACGACAAAACAGTCAATGGTTCGTTTACTGTTTTTGTTTTTGAGGAAATCCAAAACGGTAAAACGAAATAACGGTATGTCCCGGGATTTATTTGACACTCTGGAATGCTTTGTACACTTCAGATGCACACAATACAAATATACATTGAGTCATAAGGAAGAGCAAGTCAGCCACAGCCAGATTGGATAAGTAGATGTTGATGATTGTACGCATTGACTTCACTCGAATGACTGTGAAGAGAAGTTTAAGAGGAGGCCGATTGGTGCATTGATTTCAGTAATTAACCATGGTATTTGTTAATTTCTTTGATAAAGTTCTCAAGGTGCTTTTCAACTTCATCGTTCTCCATATACAACATTTGATTCAGATGTAGCAAAGAGTGTTCTGTCCTATTTCAAGATCACTCCAGTTTTATACTAACAGCGAATATAAGACCTGGAGCAATGTGTAATTGAAATAAAAAGCTGCATTTTTTCCCCTTAGTGTTTCTTTATCTCTAAGATTTGTAAGGATAAGTTCTTTGTTCCTTGTTTTGAATGCATACTAAACCAAAGTTGACATTAGAGTTTCACAGTTGACTTTGGCATACTTTTTTACATGTTCATTGTGTAATCCGTCACTAAGGTTTTGCTCAAATCTAGGTTATGCCAAAAAAAAGAGGTTTTTTTTCAATGAAAGATGATGTCTCAAAACCGCCAAACTCAACGGTTTGACTGGAATCCTGCTGCTGCACAATTTTAACGTGTTTTTAGATGGGGTTATGGTCGAGAAGAAGCTTTATGTGGCCTCTCTGGACTCCCATACATTTGCACTAAGTTTAGTCGGGCACCATTTGCAGTCATCAGCCGACATTTGAAGCAACAAACCAGGTAAAAAAAAAAAAAAAATAGCCGCGTCGCCACACCACTTTTTGGGCAAGCTCCATACCAGAAACTGGAGACTTTTTTTTTTGGCCTTTCTTTAAAAAAGGTGAAATGGCACTCTGCACTTTTTACATGTAGAGTTTTGCAGCTCATAAAAGATCACAGACATAACGTAACGCTTGAATTATCTGTAACTGAATAAAATTAGGTGCAGATCAAAAAATGACACAAAATCTTTCAGGTCGTTCACTACATTTTGCTTACAACATATTTATTTATATCTCACATATAGAAACTTGACACAAGCTTTAGATTTGGTGTTTGGATAATCAAGAAAGACATTTAAAATACAGATACAACTGCATCAACAAAGATTTGAAACCATGGAATTCCTACACTGTCTTGCTTGAAATTGAAAGTGTACTTAGATTTCTGCTATCAAATGTTATACTAAGAAATTACCCATGATTGGCTCCCGTCCGTACATTATTGATACTGATTGTGAGGGGGGGGGGGACCAGCACATCCAGCAAGAACAGAAATTATGTTTGGCAGCCAATAATTTAGAATTGTAAAGTAATAATTCAATAACTGAACGTGAGCCTTTTTGTGTTTAATGTTTCATTCAAAAGTGAGTAACTTTTGTATTGCTTGAAAAATAGCAGATTGGTAAAGAAATATATTTTTCGGGATGAAACTTGAAAATTCAGTACCTCATCTGGCATTTGTTGAGCAAAACTGTTATGTGGACAGTTTTCCTTGTTTTTTTTCCTAGAAGGTACAGCATTAAAGGTGGCATGTCTGTGTAGAGTGTGTGTGCGATTCACAGTTTCAGATGATTCTTATTTTATCTGATAAACTGTCTTAAGTTGAACACATTACCCTCATTGTTTCAAGCTTAATCTTTAATTTGCTCATGCACTACCAGAACTATGTACTGTAGTTAGAAGAATGGTTGTATGTAGAAAGATGACAAGTTCCACACCCAATCCATTACCCTTTGGAGATACGGTGGACACAATACGAGGGCTCTATTTGGTTTGGGTCTAAGTCTATTGCATAAGTTACCCCAATATACCCAAATCAAATAACACCCTTGTATTGTGTCTGCCATATCGCAAAAGGCTTAGAGCAGTTGAGCTATTCACTTTTTCCAAAATTGTTAAGACTCTGGAATACTGAATGTGCTTTTCACATCTTTTCCCAATCTACAGGTTAAACAACATGGTGACTCCACTGTGGAACCAGCCGTATGAGGACCAGCTATCCACCAAATAGACCAACACCAGGGAGTTTCTGAGGAATTTATCCAAGATGCTGCAACGGAACATTGGGGAGATGTCTCCGTGGCTGTAGCCTTGTTCAATGCGGTCTCTCGGCTTTTTGTCGAAGGGAGATAATCGGGCCCTGCACCCACAATCAACGCGGCTACGTGCGTGTACCACCGACCCTTGTCCGTGCGTGTACCGTACCACCGACCCTTTTCCGTACGAACGGTTTGGTACTAACACAACCAGCAAGCACAAACACGTGAGTACGGACTGTACGCATGGTGTAATAAGGCAGTAAATGTAGGCCTACTATGTTCTGCGTGTGGGTGTACGTACGTACGTGTGGGGGATATACGCGCCGCGTGGCCTGTCGAACGACCGCCTTGTTGGGTCTGCAACTTCCGGGTTTAATGTCTTTCTTTACTTTTTCGTCCAGTTTTGGAAAAAAATGGGCGGGCTTCAGGTATGCGGGTATGCCGTGATGATTATGTAGGTTCGTCTTGGACCAATCACATGAAACAACCTTCCCAATAGTATGATTAATTCATTTCTAAGCTGACCAATCGTAAGCTTCACAAGAATCATGTGACGTCGCGCGGCATGCATAATGCATTAGTCATCATGGCGTCTTCCATGTCTTTTTAGCGAGAGCGAAATGTTCGTCACTTTTTCAACAATTTGACATTGATTCGAGTTTTTCGGCTCGTGTAATGAATCCATTTGAGTGGGCAACGATCGTCTAATGACAGCATTACCTGCAGAATTCGTTGGAGCCTTCAATACTGCTTCGGACAGACTGGGACTGAACGACTTTCACCCACAGCAACGGGCCGCCATTGCAGCGTTTCTTCGCGGATGCGACGTGTTTGTTAGCCTATCGCGGGCTGACCAATGAGAATTCAGTATATACGCGGGGGTGGTACCTCATTACCGTAATAGGTTTTGCTGGGTCAACTCAAAACCATCAAGGCGTTGGGTTACGCGGACTAGCTCATGCATGTACATGTACATGTACATGTACATGTACATGTACAGTACTGTGTGTACGTGCATGGCTGTTGTACGAGTACGTGTGTGATGTACATGTACGTGCGTACGTACATGTACAAGCATAGCCTTGCTGTATGGTACAAGTTGCTTTCTCACTAGCAGCGTACGGGCATCGATATGTGCACGCAATTATGCCTTGCCAAGTTGATTAGGGATTTTCTTATCGGCGATTTTTTTTATCGGCGAATCGATAAGCCCAACGCCTTGGTCAAGGCTACCGTGGCTGAAGCAACAAAGGTGAGCTACTCACCAAAGACACAGGATGGTTGTGGGCCAGAATGGAAATGTGATCTTCCTTGACAAGAAACTGTTTCCAGACACAGTTTTCTGGCAAGTGAACTTACATGTACAGCTGCCCTGAAATTTCGTTAAAAGTCCAGAAAAAGATGCCTCATTTTTCTTGAGAATCAATTAAAACTCAGCAAAGTTTTAGCCAACTTCTGTAATAAACTTCCTTTCCACACACAAAAGTCCCAAAGATTAAAGGGGGGGAGGAAGTTGCTAAAAAAAATGTTTACAAACAAAATGCAAAAAAATGAACATAAAACCAAAACTTCACAATTCATAAGCTGCTCGAATGAGACTCGCACCAACAATCTCCTGCTTCCTAGTGCAGATGTCTCAACTGCTTGACCATCAGGCTTGCTGGGGTTGGCTGGCTGGTCCCAATCTGATATAGCAGGTGCCACAATCAACGAGTTTCATTAATTGTTTACGTAGGGGAATGTGAATGTGAATACCTGGTTTTGACCTTCACCAATGTAAATTTGAATGCACTGAATATTCAGTGCTGTCTGAGAGCTTACGAGCAAAGATTCTTCCAGCTTGCTTGGGTGGGATATGAACCCATGACCTCCTGCTTACTAGTGCAGACATCTTAACCACTCAATAACAGAGCTTGCAAAGGTTAGTGGGCCAGTTTGAATCGTGTGTATACATGTATATGGCTTTGGTTACCACAAGAAATTCACAAGCCTGTTGGAGTGGGATTCGAACCCACACCCTCATGTTGAATAGTGCACTCTTCATTTGATTGACAGGAAGAACCACAGTGGGATGGCATGTGAGTTGGAGCCAATTAAGCCATCGGTGAGTAAACTAGGTTACAAATCGTCGCATATCTGACGAACCGACGAATACGCGCGATTACGCGTTAACGCAATTCTGCGAAAAACGCGTTTAAAGTTGAACACATTTTACGTGTCCCTTTTCGATGCTACTTTCCCCTTTTGTACATTCTTAATTTATTCAAGGTAGTTATTTGATTGTTAAAATATATCTATTAATTTGTTTTTTGCTCGTAAGACTAAAGGTTTGTCTAATTTTTGCTGTGAAACTTATTCGTCACTTCGCGAGATAGATTTAAACGTCATTGTGCTTATTCGCCACGTAAAAATGTCTAATTCGTCACTTTGTAAGATAACATTTTGACTGTGCGCGCGTTTTTGCATCACAAATCCATTGCATATTCGTCACTTCTTTACAACACTACGCGCATTTTCAAAGAAATGTGTATGTTTTACAAACATTATATATTTTCTTTTAAGGAAAAAATATGGTAACACTTAAACCCCACGTTCAAATCCAAGTACTTGCTATAATGTTTTAATAATATACATTAGCCTAATAAAAAAGTTATTAAAAAGGAAAATATCTCGAATGGACGCAACAAAATAGTAGGAACACAAAACTGTGAATGCGAACTAACGACGAACAACACTATTTATTCATTCATTCATGTAAGACAGCAATTGTTTTAAAAACAATCAGTTTTGTCTCAAAATCCCGTAATTATTGTCTTCCAGGGTACAATAATCTGAGTAACGGCTTGTTATCCTTAGGCATTCTGCTTTCATTAGCCGCTTAAAGGGCTCCGTTTTCGAGAATACAAAACCTGTATCTCGAAATGCAGTATTTTGGGTATCCTATAAAACGTCGTCTTTGAAAGAAAGTGTACCGCACACGATGAAATAATTTATATTTTTATTTCATCTTCCTAATCATCACTCACCAGCTAGGGCACACGTTATTTCAGTATAGGCTCATTTCAATGAGGTTTTTCTGCTCTAATTAGCCACTTAAAGAGTGTTTTGGGTTTCCTTAAAAATGCCGTCTTTGAACGAAAATCTACAAATAAAACATATTTTTATGTCATCATCCTAAGCATCACATTCCTTGGCACTCTTCATTTTCATTGTGGGCTTATTCCCATGAGGTCTTATGCTCAAATTAGCCACTTAAAGGGGTTCCATTTTCGAGAATATCTCGAAATGCAGTATTTCGGTCTCCCATTGAATGCAGTTTTTAAAGAAAGTGTACCGCATATGTTTTAAATAAATAATATTTTCATTTAATAATCCTATTTTCAACTTCTAGGGTGCACTTCATTTCAGTATTGGTTTATTCCAATAATGTATTCTGCTTTAAGTAGCCGCTTAAATGGACTCCGTCGAAATGCAGTCATAATGCTTTCCTATAAAACGCCGTTTATGAAAGAAAGTGGACCGCACGTTTAAAAAAAAATATCCTAATTTTCATCCCCTAGGAGGCACTTCATTTCAGTATGGGCTGATTAAAATGAGGTTTTCAGCTCTTATTAGCCACTTAAAGGGGACCGTTTTCGAGATTTTCTCGAAATGCAGTAGACCTTTTGTGGAATTCCTATAAAACGCCGGTTTTGAAGGAAAGTATATCGCACGTTTTAAATGAATCCCAGTCTGTATAAGCCTGTCCGTCGCGCAGTCCTAGCCTAGTACATTTTGTGCTCCGTTCATTTTAGGATTACAACTCTACATACACAAAATTACATAAAGGTGAAGTAGTAACGGTTATCTCTTTTTAGACATCATTATAATGTTGCAGCGCCGTTAGTTTGTTTTGAAAGCTGACGGAAAGCGCGCGAAACAGAAGATCCCTGGTTCCCTCATACGACATTCAATTATTAAGACGGGTGTGTGCGTAACCAATGAATAACTGGTTATTCGTCACTTCGTCAGATACTGGATGCGCGCTGTTCTGATATGACCAAGCGTCAAATAATTTATTCGTCAGTTCGCAAGACAATTTTTTTCCAATATGTGCCGATTCGTCACTTAGTGGGTTTCGGAACAACAAAAATGAAGTGTTTTCATGAATTAAAACCTAAAAATCTGAAAATTCGAATATTTTTAACCCTAAAACTCAATTAATAAAAAAAACTCCAAAATGACCGATTCGTCACTTCGTCCGATATGCGACGAAATATTTGTTGATAAAAATATAGATTTTATTTAAATTTATTTGTAGTATTGTGAACGATTTTATGAATTATAATCTCAATGATAGTTCACATTGGCACATAGTGTTAGGTTAGCTTGACTGGTGTGATCTTTGAACTCGGGTAGATAGATAGAGTCACCTTACTTGTACTAAATTTATATTTCAACCTGGATTTCTTGTTAGATAAACTATACAGCATGTGAATCTTTTGTGGGGTAAATATTCCTGACATTGGAGATGTCTGATTTGTTCCTTTCATTTTCATTGTTTGTTTTCACACTCACAGCCAGTATTAGAGAGTTATCGCAACAAGTGTGAGTTTACCATCGGCAAGAGTGTAGATGGCATCGGTGAGTGAAACTGGCATTTATTTTTAGTTATCCAACCTCTTCATTTTTTTGTATGTATCCGCTCCGTTCACAAGCACCCCCTCGCCTGGATATAAAGTGTGCACACATGTACATAATGTGCCTGTTATGAAAACCGCAACAGAAAGTTTCGGGAATTTTTTTTCTCAGTTATTCCCCAAATTTCTTGTCAGGTCTTCATGAAACTTGGCCTGGGTAAATTGTGCAAAAGTTTCAGTTTCATGTCTTATTTTCATTGACAGATAACACTGTTGGTTTCCGGATTGGCGCTTACAAAAGCAAGTATTTTCACAGAGGTTTCCATTTTGCAAAAGCCGTAGATAAGCGTTCATGTTTGATTGGATCAGCTGTGGAGGGGCGTGGCTCATTAGTAGCCAATGCTCATCAATTCCAACCAATCAGAATGCAACACACAGAAAGATTGACAGGTGTACATATTGTGCATTGTCTAATATGTCTGTCAGGAATTAATTATTGGAAAGAAACAAGCCACAAAAGACTTAAACCCTTGTCATCCCCTTTGCTGACCAATATGTTGGCTTACTTTTGTGGCATGAATATTGAGGGTATATGTTTGTAATTCCAACATTGTCCAGCAAGCTCTTTTACTCAGTAGGGATTTTTCAACAATTACATTTGTACAAGCAAGAATTAGGTTTTAAATAAAAAAAATCAGGAAAATCACTGTTTGTTTAAATGTTGCTAGTGTACACTTTTATTTATCTTATCACTGATCTTGCTTTTACACGCAAATTTGTTTGCCCTATAAAAAGTATGTGACATTTAGAAACATGGTTTGCCCTGCAATTTTTTTCCTAAGTATTACTAGGTATCAGAAAGACGTAAGAGCTCAAACACTGATTTGGTGATAGTACATTTCTGTATTATTTGTGTTTAGAGTTTTAAATTACACAAGGAAATTGCAGCTTTAATGAACATATAAAAAGCAGCAATTCCTCGGATACTGTGCAAATTAAGATACATCTTGTACGATGCTAACTTTACAACGACATTCATATTTCACAGCATTGATTTTTCAATTTCCCAAATTTGAAGTACCCTTGAGTCCATCTAAGAGAAATATCAGAATATTGCTTTGCATTTAAACATCATACAGACAAGGAGCTTATAATGTAATACAACAGACTAGTGGTGCTACACAGAATATGTACAATTATAGAGCATGCAAGTCTCGCCAGTTCACATTCACTTTTCATGTAAACATCTTGGTACCAAACACTGACTAGTCTGGCCACAGACTCCCGTCTTTGAATTCAACCAATGAATGGATGTGGAGGTCAACATTTTTTCAATTTACTAAAGTAATCAACTTGCAATATTGTTTTAATGTGTTGGAAATTGGAATAATGATTTCTTGTTCAGAACCCATTCTTTGCCCTTGACTGGATAAACCTACATGTAGTAAAATCACCTAGGTTTTTGAGGGCAAGTTGCATGCTCTATTGACAGAAGTGGAGTCGAAATTGCTGACTTTAACTATCAACCAGCTAGTAGCTGTGAAGACACCTTTGATACACCAGACTTAAATTCCATACTGTACATCTAAAGCCTACAATGGTCTCGTATGTGCTCTGCAGCAAAACGTCTATTCAATTGGATTTCTCGTTGCTAAAGATAGAATTCAAGAAAGTTTGTACAAATATTTTACACTTTATTTGGTTTTCAAAAAGTATTTGGTGTTTGTATTTGGAATCAGATGCTCCTAATGCATAACTTGCAACTTTGTTGATCTGTTACTTAGGCTGTGTCTGAAACAGGCTTCTAGAGCTATGGCTACGGCTATTGTCAGGTTGTTCCCATGTAACTGTAATGGATGAAGACCTAGACAATAGCCATAGACATCTCACTTGCTCATATTAGACTTTAAAATAAAATAGCAATTTAGTCGTTTTTTCTTCTCTAATTGGAGTTGGTCTTTTTAATCTGTTCATTTGTGCATCAGGTCTTGACCCACAAGAGAACCATTTCACCAGCACCTCTGACGTACCGGTGACTGGCGATGCCATAACGGATCCTTATCACTATCTGACGCAAACAGCACTTCACCTCAGAGATCTTCAAGATTAAGATCCAAAACCTCCCAAGACACTTTGGATGTGCGGTGAGTTTGCTCTCTAAGCATTCAACCCTTGATAACGATAATCATACAGTTTTGTGCTCTTGTAAGAGTTCATATTGTGCTCCATGGTTGGGATTTCTTAAGGTCTTTTTATGCATCAGAACTGATTAAAAGGCCATTGAATGAATTTCATTAGCCTCATTTTTATATGAAAGTAATGGTTAACAACTAGATACTAGGTAATTTTTTTCCCCAGTTCACTTTTTACAATGCCAGTACACTTTAAGAGTTGTTTCTAATGTAGCTGTGAAGTTGAACTAGTTGTTTCACATTTACAGCTTTGGGCTTTTCTGTGTAATATGAACCTAACATTCATTGCATTGTGCATTTATACATGTACAAAGCAGTTTGTACATTAAAGCATCTCGTTGGCTGCATCATCATGCCATGTGCTAAATGAGCGCAACAGTCGCATCAAACTCGACCAAAACACTTTTGTAATTTTTTTGTCATCAAACAGCAGTGGCCCTGAAGTTCCAGCTCATGACATCACTGCACTGTTTCGTGAAAATATTTAATCGCCTGGAACATCCTAAGACTTAAAACGCAGAGGTGGATTTCATAAAATCAAAAACTGAAATATGTTTCAAAGGCACCTAAAAAATTACATACTTACTGTGGAAAAATGTCGGGTGTATCCTATATGTTAGTGCCAATATGTGTATATTTTCACACTGAAAAAAGTAATAAAAGAAACTTGTTCTTTTAAACATACACGAAAAGCTCATTAAAGTAACAATTAACATAGGCCCTAATGGGATTTGTAATTTTTGAACCACTTGCATACATACATTGAATGAGTTCCAGCTGTTCGCTTCACTGATAGTTGGTTGCAATCTGCTCTGGGCCTGCACATTACTGATGTCATGGCAGGTTCAGGTATTGGCAATCTGCTTAACTAAAATACATTTGAACTCCAGCATCCTGTGCTTTCAATATTTCTTGACATCAAATCTACTTGGCATTTCAGTGAAGAAGATGTATGAAAAAGCCTTAAATCTGCTCTACAGTTTAAACACTACACAGCTCCCCTTACGTGGATGGCTTGCACTCATCAGTTACCAGAAAACATTGTTCTTGACAACTTTTGAACGATTGACTCCTTTCTGGTTCTGGATGTGCATACTGCTGCCCTTGTGCTGATGGCTCGGTGCCAGTCAGCCCAGGACATTGTTCCTGAGTACTTGCAAGTGACTGCTGGCTCTCTGCTGGTTCTGGATGTACACACTGTTCCCCTTGCATGGATGGCTTGCAGTCAGTCAGACTTGAGCATTGTTCCTGATGAGAACTTGCAAGCACTGGGGTCCCTGCTGGTTCTGCATGTACCTCAACATGCACTTGAACATGCTGCTGACTGTGCATGGATGCCTTGCTGCTGCCTTGCCTGGAACATTGTTCTTGACAGCTGTCCAGTGACTGCTGACTCGCTGTGTGTTGTGCATGCCCTTGGCTTGGTGGCTTGCTGTTGCTTGGCCTGGCAGCACGGTGCTCTTGGTCATTTTCTGCCTGTGGAATCACATGAAGCTCAATGTGCTTCCCTGTCTGCGATGGTCGGCTGGGATTCCGTCTTGGGCAGTAACGACAGCACAGTCTGAGGAATGAGAAAGCCTTGACTACAGCTTCACGATAGTCAGCATTTGTGGCACTGTAGACCAGGGAATTGATTGAGCTATTGATAAGTTGGAAGATCGCTATGCATGTTATCAGAATATTAAGTTTTTCTCCAAGTTTTAGAAATTCAACAGCCTGGGAAGGCACGCTTTTAGAATAAGTCTCTGCCACACTGAGAATAATTGAAGCTGCAGTGTTCAATGAGTTCAGAATGAAGAAAACAGCAGTATTGATGATAACCATACAGAGGACCTTGCCTGCTCGCTTGGGACAGTTTGGCAACAGGGCTGATTGCTTGCGTACTTTTACTACTAGATAGATGTACAAACCAAGAGTTGCTATTAAACAGACAAAGTTGATAGTGGAATGGGTCCAAAAGATGATGTCAGTGAAGACGTACTGTGTTATTGGTAAGAATATCAGAATCACACCAACAATAATTGTTGGCACCCAGAGTCCTGCTGATATCTTTGCTGCTCGAGATTTAGAGGCTTTTTTCTTGAACGTCAGAGGATTGCGCACTGCAGAGAATCTCTCAGCCGCTATGGTAACCACAAAGCAATTAGAAGCATCAATGAACATGTTCTCCACACTTGTGAATGCTTTTTGCCCTAAAAAGCTGTACTCTATGGGTGACCACAATGCATACATAAATTCAGTCGTGAGAAAGAGCAAGTCGGCCACAGCCAGATTAGATAAGTAGATGTTGATGATTGTACGCATGGACTTCACTCGAATGACTGTGAAAAGAAAGACAAAGTTTAAGAGGAGGCCAATTGGCACAATGATTTCGGCACTTAACCATATTATTTGATTACTTCTGTCTCGACTCTTGTAATAGTTCTCAAGATGCTTTTGTAGTTCATTTGATGGAGTGGAGCTGTTTTGGTAGCCATCATCCATACTTCATGTACAGTGTAGCATTGATCTGCATATCCAACATTTCATTCAGATACAACAATACAACAAAGTGTGTGATACTGATCACTCAAGTTTTATACCAAAGGAATACATGTAACACCTACAGAAATGGGTAGTTGAAACTGAAAGTTCATGATACTGTGTCCCTTTCCCCCCGCTTTCCTCTAAGACATATTGTAATGCACGTGACATATCTCATGACAGCAGTAGCTGTAACCAAAGAAGACAACTCAGTTTCGTTATTACTGGCATTGACATGAAATCTGAGAATTAAATGGGTTTCAGTTTTAATTATTTGCTCCAGATTATACATTTGTTCATGCAAGTGTTTAAATTTGTTCATGTTACTGATTATGGAAAGTAACACCCACACGAAACTTTGTTAATCACCAACTGCAAATTTTACATTGGTATAAACAAGTAGGTAATTAAAAAAATGACAATTTTCATTATTAAAAATACATGCTGTATTTGCTTTTCAAAATGCAACAATGTCCTTCTCTTGGATATTGACTTATTTAAACATACTTGTCCATTAATTCATTCAGTGTTTCCTTTCTGTTTGATTATCAATTTGATCCGACAAGGAATGAAGTTAAACAGTTTTCATTTTTACATCACAAAGTGATTTTTTTGCTCATCTGCTGCTATTTCTTTCTGTCTGAGGCTGTTGGTTGTCATTTGAAATCAGTCTCTGCCTTGCCTGACAATCAAGTTGATGTTGTCATATTTTGTTTTGTTGATGGAACATCTTTGCAAGACAGTTTGCAAGGGCTAACTACTTGGTCTGAATGTGAACCCAGAGCCTTCTGCTTAGAGTGCAGGCATCTTAACCAACTCCACCACCAAGCTTGCTGAAGTCAGCTGGCTGATTGGAATCTTGTTGAACAGCAAACTGCTGCAGATATCCATGTACATGGAGTGGTGCTGATAATCAGTAGTGTACGTAATGTAGGACTCCACGAGCTAACTACTTGGTCTGAATGTGAACCCAGAGCCTTCTGCTTAGAGTGCAGGCATCTTAACCGACTCCGCCACCAAGCTTGCTGAAGTCAGCTGGCTGATTGGAATCTTGTTCAACAGCAAACTGCTGCAGATATCCATGTACATGGAGTGGTGCTGATAATCAGTACATAATATAGGATTGGAATCAGTCACACGACTCTAGCAGGTTTGCTACATTGCATAATAATGGTGAAGATTTTGGCAGTAAGTGTGGGAAATCATCATTTAATACAATCAAAGTAAGGTTAAATTATGTTGTTTTTTCCTGATAAGAATGATATAATTATTGACTGTACAATTTGGATTGATGTCTAAGATGATACCTGCAGCGTCTTCTCCCAGACCAGTTTGACACCATCTACTTGGACTTCATCTGGCAGCAGGTGAAATTCTCTCAGCAAGAGATTTCACCAATACCATGATGTCTTGCATGTGCTATTCCAGTCGCTGGATAGAATCAATCTTCAATCCAACCGCAATGGCCGATGTGGTTCCTCGGAAGTCTGTAGTCTGCGCCCGGGCCTGTTTCCGTTCTTTGCGTTTCATTGCCCAGTTCTTGACTTCTTTGAACTAGATGAACTGTGGTCAACAAAATCGCGACAGGAGTGCCTCAGTCTCTTTTGCTCGATGCCATCTATGAATTGATCTTGTATGATGGTGTCAGGATTTTTGTATAGTCCAGGGTCTCGCTTAAGTAGTCAGTGAAACAGTCGCTGTAGCTCTACGCCAAACTGACGAATGGACTCACTGCCTCTGTTCCAAACAACAGCGCTGCAACTCTCCACTCGTTAGGGTCTCCCCAAATGAGGTCTTTAAATACATCAGTGCCTCTTCGGCAGTCTCAACAGAGGACAGTAAAGAGTGGACCACTACCGTCTGACTTCGGCGGAGTGAGTCCAGCAAAAACTGGCCACGTTGGTCCTCCGGATTGTGATAACGGTCATACACATGATTCATACATGTACATGTAGCTGTTACAAAGTCATCTACCAGCACGCACTTTGCATCGTTCCGTCCTTCGAATGAGGGGCATTTTGGTTATGGTGCCATCCCAACTTGGGGTGGCAGACCACAAACGCCTGCAGGAGCTCCTCTGAGGGGAACCCGGTATTGGTCGGTTCTGTCTTGATCTGGACTCTGGTAAGTGGTGTGTACTCTCCTCCCACTTTCCATCCTCCTTCTGGAGGGAGAATGGCTCAATTCAAAATCGACAGAAGTAGTTCATTGTCCTGGTCAATTCTGTGAATCAGCCCGGTGGCATTCACGTAGCACCCCTTCAGGCTTTGAAGGGGCAAACTCCCATCAACCAAGGAAAACTTCCTGGTTTTCTCCTCTGCTGGAGACTG